ATCTATTTCATGTTATGTGTTTTTTCGTTTCTAGCACCAGAGATGCCTTCTACAGATAGTAAGTTAGCGTCGACATCACTTAGAATTGCTTTCTTCTGTACTCTGTTGTTATTGCTATTATCTTAAAGTCGTTTTTCTTGCATCTTCAGTTGCAGCACAAGTTAAAAGCGTTAAAACAACCACAGATCGTGAGTGTTTCATAAGTATCACTTAAATTTCTCGAGAATTTTGTATTTATTGCAAATTTAATAATAGTATCACTTTTACTTTATCCTTTTTTTCTATCCGTTGCTAGAAGCAGAGACAAGTACCACAGGTAATAAGCTTTTAATATGCATTAATATTATACCATTTTTGTTGTAAGGTATTATTGTATTTCATTCTGATTTCACCTCTTAACAACTGTTTAACTTCAAGTCATATTTCATAACATTATTTTCCAGCATCGGAGATGACAACTACACACAAAGGTATGTTTATCTCGAATATAACTGGAAATTGTTAAGTATGACCATTTCTGACTAAATTGATTAACATTTTGTTATTTATAATTAGCATCAATTTTTAACTTTATATCTATATCCCATTCATTTAGAGTGAGTAATTGTTGAAAACGTTTTAAATTTATAGTTCAAGCTCGATATATCAAAATTCAAAAATGGCACTGAGGCTTTCCCCCAAACTTTTATATTTGGTTATGGTTTCTTTGTATTAAGTCTCTTGTGGAAATTACCGGAGAAAGGAAACTTACAAACTTTGCAATTTTGGGCAGAAAGCCTCGGAGCCAGGTTATAATTTGTTGAAAGCATTTTAAATTTATAGTTCAAGCTCGATATATCAAAATTCAAAAATGGCACCGAGGCTTTCCCCCAAACTTTTATATTTGATAATAGTTTCTTTGTATTACGTCTCTTGTGGAAATTACCGGAGAAAAGAAACTTACAAACTTTGCAATTTTGGGCAGAAAGCCTCGGAGCCAGGTTATAATTTCATATATTAGACACGGGCAGTTTTGCTATCATTTTTTAAAAGGGCTTGTTTATTTGCAGCGCCAGAGATACGTACTACAGATAGTAGACCTTTTACAAGAAATAAACCTTTCGCCTAGATATTTCTTAGAGTTTCAATTGCTATAAGCTTCTATAAACAGTCTAATTTTTCTTTCCTGCTTTGTTATTTTCAGCATCAGAGATAACCACTACAGACGGTAGGTTTGCCACTAATATTACTTAAAATTGTTTTGTTTTCTTTTGTCTTCAAGCTATCTTATCCTTTATACTTTTCGTTTTTTAGCACCAGAGATAACCATCACAGACGGTAAGTTTGGCATCGATTTTACTTAGTGTCACGCTTTTGTTTTCAATCTATCTTATCCTTCGTATTTTCCAATTTAAGCACCAGAGATAACTACTGCAGATGGTACGTCTGACATCGATATTATTAAAAATTGGTTCAACCTTCTTTTCCAATCTAATTCATGTTTCTTTTTTTATTATTATTTCCAGCACCGGACATGACTACTACAGATGGTAAGTTTGGCATCACTATTACTATTACTACTGTTCATTTTTTTTTTTATCTAATTCATGTTTCGTGTTTTTTCGCTTTTAGCAC